TTCTTTCGTGCCTTCGAAGCAAAATTTCACGAGTGTTTTTTCGGTTTTCCATCTGTCTTTCATTCAATTCATGTGGCACCCATTTTCCACACTTTTGGATCTTTCCCATAGCTTCTAAACGGTCAGAAATTGTTTGTTGTGCAACATTTAACATTTCTGCTATTTGCTTTTGACTCAAAGTGTCATCTCCATCCAATATCGTTTGCAATTCGGCGTCTTCAAACTTTTTTGGTGGTCTTCCACGTTCTTCATTTCTCACATCAAAATCATTATTTCTGAACCGTTGAAACCATCTTTTGCAAGTTGCTTCTGATAGAGCATGATCACCATATGCCTCGACAAGCAATCGATGCGACTCTGCAGCACTTTTCTTCAAATGAAAACAAAAAATTAATGCTTTCCGCAAATCATCACTTTCCGGTACAAAATTCGACATTTTTAACACGATGAAAAAATATGATGTTGTCTGTTCAATGACTTGATGTATACTAAATATGTTTCACAGATGTCATAGCAAACAATCAAAAAAAAATAAAGGCTCGTTCACAACAAATGTTCCCTATCGAGACATTTGTATCTTGACGCTCACTTCATACCGGTATACCTGGTACTAATCTATCGTTACTAACATTTATCAAAAATACATTCTGATTGTTGAAGTCACTTTTACTCATATCAGTGTCTAAGTATAGTTAACAGTCAAAGTCAATCATGCAAAAATATTTTTAACATGCTGCAAAATACAAGATATACATAAGATACATATCATATAAGACCTATTACCTGGAACCTAACATTTTTATCCCAAAATTTAAAAATTCTTTATTGAAAACAAAAACATTGTATAATTTACTATAAGTCAGTAATAAAAAATAAGCATATAGTCATAATAACTATTTACTTTTTTTAGTTATCGTTATTTATGTTACAGTTATCAAGATAAATTTAAGATTTATAATTAAAGTTTGATGGCAAAAGTTCATATCTACAAAAATTTTATCACTATTGTAAACGTAAGTTAAGTATTATAAGTATTTACAAGTATAAGTATTGTAAGTATAAGTTATTATCATGTATATTATGATATTGTTATTAATATTACACCTAATTATTGTATCTGAAAGTGAGTAAACTTCATCAACATCAGCCATTTTGCTTGCATAAAATATAGAAAATTTATAAAAATTATTTTAAATCTTTATATTCCTTAAATATAACCTATCCATCACAACATTCTTCTGTTTGCTCCTTTTAAATATTTCTGACTAAGCTAATATTTTGATTAAACTCAAAGCAGTTATTACCATCACTAGTATAAACAAAACCTGATATTTTGATGATGATGCAAACAGTGTTTCAATGGACTAGTTACTAAATATTTAATAGTTAGTGAAAAATATGTTAAACATATATGTTAAACTTTTTAAATTTATTTAAAAATATATATGAAAAAAATCTTTCATAATGGTAATAAATAAATGAAATTTTAAACGTCTTTTTAATAAAGTTTTACAGTAAAAAAAACACATTATAAAAAAAAAATGTGTACAAAAAATATAATGCATGAAAGTTAAATTTTGAAATTTATTTAACGCACAATACAAATTATAAATGGCAACCAACGTGTAAGTTTTGTAAATTTACAGTTTAAACCTTTTTGGAATCTTATGGGAAACCCATCAAACGCCCATATCCTTCGACCCATATAAAAATCAGATAAAACCCTATCATGAAAATTTGCTTGATTTTTTGACCCGTCAGGAAACCAAACACTTAAGCGTTAAAATCACTGATCTCAAAATATACACGATTTTTTTCGTATAAGCAACGTAGAATTTTGGTCAGAACTCCAGTTGCTTATTTTTCAGCCAATTTCTTTATCTGGAGTTGCTTAATGGTTACTTAAGTTTCCTAGCTTAAATTTCAGTGTTTTTACGAATAAGAGACAACCCAGTAAACATAATATAGTGGACCTATATAGGGCCGATGTAGGCAACGCTACCGGTCCAATAGCGGCGTGTTGCTAATGGAGCAGTTAAGTTTTGCTCATCGGTTTTTTAGCGGACCAATAGTGGCACAAAACTTAGCGGTTAGTCAGTGGTCCTTTAGTGGCACGTTTAGTAAATGGTTTTCTAGTGGACCTATAGCGGTATGTGCCGTTAGCGGTCAGCCATCGTTTTCGTAATGGCAGTATATTTTTGCCTACATGCTATATATAGGGCTCTATATATAGAACTTTATTTATTAAAAAAGAGGAAGAAAAAGAAAAACTGCTCTAGTTCAGAAATTAATAGGCGTTTGAACAAGTAAAGAAGTATATAAACTTTTCAACAGGGTTTGGGAATTATTAGCAATAATTAGAAATCTGCCTAGTGTTCCTCCATTAGTAATACATTCACTTCTATTGGGTGTTCATCTCAATTGCAAATTAAGTAGCCTTTCAATTAATAGTATAACTTAGACAAATTGTGTTAATGCAAAATTGGGACCCGCAAATATTAACAAAAACATTATTACTTCATAAAACAAGAGATTTTTTAAACTTATTTAACAATTTTTTCAACCAAAAAATAAATTTTTAAAAGATTATTCTTCGTTTGAAGAAGGTGATTCATTATCCGTATTATTGCTAATCAGCGTTGTTTGTTAGTTTCTTTCTTTCTTTTCGTTCTTTACGACCACCATCTTTATCAACCATCGACCACCATCTTTATCAACCATCAACCACCATCCGTTCACCATACGACCACCATCTTTATCAATTGACCCATGAATATAGTGAAAGGTTTATTTTTAAATATCACACTCACAAAGTTCACTCGTACAGCTGCGTGTAGAAATATTCCTTGCCATAGCGTCTATTAATTACAAACAAAATAAATCAATTAAACTTTATAAAATTATAACTTATTTAAATTAAATTTAAATATTATACTTAAATATATGACTATAATTATAATGGTTATTTTATTAACCAACGAATAAATAAATTAAAAAACAAAACAAACAAATTTGCATCATATATCACCAACTTTTCTGGAACTTGGTACAAACGTTTAGATGCCATAAAAAAACTTTTTTTTTTTTTTTTTATCTGTTTAGAATTTACAGCAACTTGAAATTTGATTATGATTGAAAACTTGAAGTTTGATTATGATTGAAAAATGAGAGGGAAGTGCCAAAAACTTTTCTGTTTACTATTACCTTATAGGATGCTTGTAATGATGCTGAAATTTGGTACCGAAAGAGTTTAAAACCTGCTAAATCCGAATTTTCATGAAGTTGAATTGTTTAAATATAAAAATCTCTATTTCCTTCAGAAAATAAATTTGTTAAAGTCGTCTTTGTCATCTAAATAGTAGCCACATCCTGTTTTTGTAGTCATTACTTCAAGCTTGCAAACGATGTCACCTGGAATGCAGCATTGGCTATCCACTGCTGGCCATTTAAACATAGATTTTTTATTCGTGTCCTCCACTTCTTTTTTGAGTCGAAATCTAAGTTGCTGTTAATCTTTAAGGAAATAAGAATTAAAAAAAAAAAAATCTTTCCCCTTAAAGTTAGTCTTACCTAACTTATATATTTAAATATTTGTGTAAAAAAACATCAAATATTCATTTGGAATTCCGATTTATCCGATGGAGATTCCGCTTAGGATACAAGAATTATTTAGGCTCTTAGAATATTATAAATACATACTTAAAATTCCATGGCATTTGCATTCCCGAATTTGGTGTTTAGGGGTTGTCCTGTCCAGTTAAATTTCTTAAATCTTGATTAGTCAACATGGTCCTTAGCATAAATTTCACCGCATTGATGCAGTCCCACGTTTGGAAGAAACAGCAACAACCTAGTTAAATTATAAATTGCACATTCATAAAACAATTACTTATCAATTAACAATTATTTATCAAAATTATATATTTATATATAAATATTTTTAACTACTTCAAAAAACTTTATAAATAATGAGTAGAGAAAAATAAAAATTGAGCAATAATTGTTTCAAATAATGTATTTCATTTTTTGAAATGTAATTCATTTGGAAGCAAGATGAGAAGCAAAAAGACAAACAAAAGCAAACATATTTTGAATTTTTTTTAATTACGCAACCTGATTTTAAGCATTTCTCTTAAAATGTTGATTAAACATGTTGTAAAAATTTAAGATTTAAATAAGTACATTAAGTAGCATTTGAAGTTTTAATTAAGTACAGAAAAATGTTAAATTAATTAAATATTTTTTTTGTTTTTAATATTTTAAAATACTTATGCATTGGGGAAGGTGGAGCTTGATTTTGTAATAAATTATGCGTACGGACATGGGGGGAGATTCAACAAATGCATACAGGTGCATACAAGGGGTCCAAAATCAGTGTTTTAATGTCTAAATAATTTATGGATGCCCCCTTATCTATATTGTTCCTCTAAAACTTATTTCATCTTCAAATAGCTCATGATGATGATGTAAATAGCTTACTGATGAGCCATTTGAAGGTTAAACAAGTTTAAAAAGAAAAAGATATATAAGTGTTTTTACTAATTTATCATTGCTCTGTTCTTTAGGCTGGTTGAGCACTCTATTTGTAGAATACACTAAAATAATTTTTATATATATACACACACACATATATATATATATATATATATATATATATATATATATATATATATATATATATATATATATATATATACATATATATATATATTTATATATATATATATATATATATATATATATATATATATATATATATATATATATATATATATATATATATATATATACATGACAATGACAAGTTCCTCACCAGCCTGAACAAAATTTTGTTCAATATCCTCATCAGCAAATTCAAAACTTCTATCAGCAAATGGTTGTAGATGTTGAGTATTGATAATTAAAATTAATAATTAAAATTAAAAGTCTGTGGAATGCTCAGAATGGAATGTTCAATCCTTGTTCTAGCTTGCTTTGAAACAAAGTTATTTTTTCTATTATCTGAAAATCGTCTTCAAAACTGTTATCTAAAAAATTGTCACGTATTAGCGCTGCATCTGATTGTTAACTATGACCAAGTACTCTAGCTGCTTCATTATCTTGTGAATATGAAGATTAATAATCTGGTAAACACTATCATTTTCAACATCATCAAGCTATTGCCTTAACACTAAAGCAAGACCTTGCTTTTCTAAAAAAAATAGTTAATACAGGCTAGGTCGGGAAGCGGGAGCGATCGCTCTCGAATACTGACCACGGAAATTATATTTAGTTGCGTAAAACTGGCCAGGTTTTTTAGTCGTTTTGAGAACATTTAAGTTTATTTATGAAACAAAAAATTTTTGTTTTACGGACATACATGGAAACATAAAAAAAATGAATGTTCCCAAAACATCATTGTGCGCAAATATTTGCGAGCACTAAAAACCCGCCAAATTAACAAAGAAACTAATTCTATTAGTTCAAAAAATACGCTGATTAAGCAAAATAAAGTTCTAGAGTATTCTGTTGAAATGTTTCAGAATTTGTATTATCCACGATTTGTAACGTTTTGAGATTTCTAGAATTGTTTTAAGAATATATATTATTTGTTTACAAAAATAAATGTTTTAAATTTATATTAATTAAATTGTTAAAATTTTAAAAGTTTATTATAAATTATAGATTTTATTAGTATATTCTTATTTTTTATTTAAAAAGTATGTAATCTTTATGTAAATGTAATTTTGTGTATCTGTTTTTTATCGTAATGTATCTTTTAAAGCAATTTTTATGATTTAAATAAAGACTTACAAAAATAATTGCAGTTATAATCGTTAAAGTTAATAAAACTAATTATGTAACAAACATATAAAAAGTTTCTAGATACTAAACACAAACAAAGCATACAAAGTAACTCGCGGATGAACAAGCATCGCGCCTGAGGTCACGACAGAACACAAATATATATAACAAATAATTAGATTTAAAAAAAAATTTCTAGATATTGGTTTACTAACTCTAATTATTTTCGCATAAGTTGCGATTCTTAAAACTCGTTTTACTTTTTTCTGCTTTAAATACTAATTAAAATTAAAAAGCCCACTCACTAAACATTATCAGCGATATCGTGAAGCAGTTTCGCTTCCTGGTCATTAAGTATTATTAACCTTTTTAGTTGATATCTATCTTGATAGTGTAATTCCTATAGTAATTCAATGATTTAATTATTTCATTTGTTTATCTTACTAAGAAGAATCGCTTCAAATATGTTAAACTTTTCAAACTACGCAAAACATAAAATAGGTATTGAAAAAATTAACTTTTTTATTTATTAAACAATTTAGCTCAAGTAAAACTAAAACTTGCAAACTTAGTTATATAAAGGATATTTGTTTCTCTTTTAAACAATTGTAAGTTGTTAATTTTATAAAAAAATTATTAAAGAGCGATGTTTCGAAAATATTTGTTCTAAATGTAATTTATTTAGCTTTAAGTTTTTTCGCGTTAGAAGTAGGGTTGTTAACCGGAGGATTTCGTGCAATTCCGGAAAAACAACATTCTTTCGTAAGGAGATTGAGAACGAGGAATTACATTTTTTCGTACCGAATGTTACAAAACATTTAAAATCGCCGATGTTCATTTCGCAAAATTCACTTCCGAAATTTAGCATTTCGCAAGTTGACATACGAAACAAAACTATTTTGCAACATACGAAAGTACGGTTTCGGAAGTCGCAATTGCGAAACTAACATTGTCGCTAATCGACGTTTTGAAGTCTATAAAGAAATTTTGTTTGCCAGTCTGATTTTAATTGTAAAAATTAACATCTTTATATCCCAAAATTGATGTGTAGGAATATTCATTTTTTTTTTTTTAAAAAGCATATGAAATTTTTGAAACAGGTTCGAATATGCTTAAGCAAATAGTAAAAACAAGGCTCAAAAATATGCTTTAGCTTAAGCATATTTCTGATAAAATATACATATTTCAATAATTTCTAAAAGTGTGCACGTTACTAAAGTTCTAGCAGATTTTAAAGGTATTTAGAGTCCTGTTTGAATACGCTTTTCGAAGTATAGATCTTAGAAAATATTGTTTTTTAATTTTAATAAGATATAAATTTGAATATAAG